GGGGTTTCACCGTGTTAGCCAGGATGGTCTCAATCTCCTGACCTCATGATCCACCCATCTCGGCCTCCCAAAGTGCTGGGATTACAGGCGTGAGCCACCGCGCCCGGCCTCAGGCCCATCTTTCACTAGTCTTTACCATACTTCCTATAATACTCTAGATGCATTGGATGACGTACCCACTAAGCAGCAAACACAGCAGGTACCCTTGTACCCTGTGCTTTTGCTTCCACTGTCCTTTCTCCTTGATATGCCTCCCTTTACTTTTTATTTGTATAGGAAAAGCCTATGCATATTTCTTCCCTCCCTTCGTAGTATAGTGGTAGCTCTTTAAGTAAAGGACTCATGTTTATTTGCCTTTGTATTGCAAGTCTAGACCAGTGCCTAGCACATAAGAGGTATCTAATAAACATCTATTCTAATAAATGCCAGTTTAGCCTTGAGGTAAATGAAATTCTAAATTCTGATGTAGAAATTTCTTACCTGAGGATCTCAGCTTCTGGGCTACCTTAGCCAATTTCCAGTTATGTTAAAAGCCTGAAAAGCCTGAACTGGACTGAAATTGCAGAATGGGAGCCAGATATCTTTTGTCTCGTAACATCAGCTATACATTGAAATATGCAGGGGCAAGTCAGGAGTACACAGATACAACCTGCTTTAGGCTGACAGCAGACTGAAGGCCTGCTACCACAGAACTATAATTCAGGCTCTCTTCCTTCCCACCTTGTCTTGGAACCCTTGGAAGATCTCTGAACTTCAGTTCCTCACTGTTCTTCAACATTCTTCAGATAACATATACTGACCTCTTAGAATGTACCAGGCCCTCTGCTAGGGGCTGGAGATGCAAATATGACCAAACAGAAAATCCCTAACTTTCTAGAATGCAGAGTCAAGCAAGGAAGACTGTGTTAGTCCATTCTCATGCTGCTATAAAGAACTGCCTGAGTCTGAGTAGTTTCTACTACTCAGGGGTTTAATTCTATCACTCAGGAAAGAGGTTTAATTCACTCACAGTTCTGCATGGCTGGGGAGGCCTCAGGAAACTTACAATCACGGCAGACAGCACCTCTTCACAGGGTGGCAGAAGAGAGAATGAGTGCTGAGTGAAAGGGGAAGCCCCTTATAAAACCATCAGATCTTGTGAGAACTTACTCACTATCATGAGAACAGCATGAGCAGCCTGAGGGTAACCACCCCATGATTAAATCACCTCCCACCAGGTCCCTCCCATGACACATGGGGATTATGGGACCCACCATTCAAGATAAGATTTGGGTGGGGACACAGCCAAACCATATCAAACACAGACAAGTAAACAGACACTTAATGATTTGTTCATTCAGCAGATATTTAACTAGACCCTAAACAAGTGCTCCAGTAGCAATGCAGAAGAGCTGCCATGGGAGTAATGGGCAATAAGTACCCAATTCTCCCTACAACTACATAGAAATTTACTAAAAGAACAGGGAAATATTGACCATGGAGGGGATATAATCACTACTGTTTATGCAAAGTTAGATAAAAGTGACAGAACAAATAGAGTTCTGGGAACTGCAAGTAGTTCAGAATGCTAGTAAATAAAGTGTTATAGGAATGAAGGAAAATGAAACTAGGCATATTCACAGGCAATATCAAGAAGTTCGCATTTAAGGTACACAGTGGAGAACCACTGAAGGATTTTAAGTGGAAGAGGAGTCAAATCAGATGTGCAGTTTAGAAGATATGTTAGAGAGGAGTGAAATGGGAAATAGGTCAGTAAGAGCCTGTGGTAAAAGTCTCAGTAAGACATCATGAGGGCTTTAAACCAAGGCAATGACAATCTAAAGGAATTGGAGAAGCCAGACTTAAACGAAATTTCACAGGCAAATCTGAAGAATTTGGTGACAGAAAGCATATTGGAGAAGAGAGACAGAAAAGAATCTGTTCAGGTGTTGAGGCCATTCATTTGAATTGGGAATCTAAGATGGGGAGGAAAGACCTGGAGGGAGATAAGAAATATGGTAAAGCTAATATGTCTAAACAAGGAAACACTGCAAAAACAAAATTTATGAATTAAGACATAACTGTACCACAGGGTATATAGGTAAAAAGATGTATACATCTTTTTAAAATTTTTTAATTTGTAAAAATTTTTCACCCCATGAGATCTAGACTAAGATGTATATACATCTTTATCTATCTATAGACAGACAGAGAAGTACAGGGTTTTTTGTTGTTGTTTTTCTCTCTTTTATGAATTGGGTGTCTCCCACAATCAAGAAATACACCTCCTCCTTCATGTTTCTAGCTAATAGAAGTAAAACTTGTGGTTGTGGAGAAGTAATTTGGAAATTGACTCTCAAAATGTATTTCTTGAATATCCAAAGAGACCTATGATTAATGTTCAATGAAGCATTTCAGTGTTTCCTAATTGATTTGTGAAGATAAGTAATAATTCCCATGGCTAAAATGTAAAAACACATGGAAAACCACAGAAGGCTATTTGAGAGTGATGAACTTCTGAGTTCCATATTTTAAGAGGGATACACCAGGATAGTTATTAGAGTATGCTTAGTGAAGGGCAAGCAAGATGGCAGAGAATGTGAAACCCGTTATATGGGAAACATGTATTTTTAGCCTGATAATTAGAAGACTTAAAGGAGTTACTACAATCATTTCCAAATATTTCGAGAGCTGTCATGTATTAACATTAAACTCTGTGGCTCCAGAAGGCAGAGCTTGGTCAATGGTACAAATGCAGAGTCGGATCTTGGAGTCAATAAAAATAATAATGTTCCAGCAGCTAGAGCAGTCAAATAATTGTATAATCACCTCAGATGTAATTATTATAGATACCCATCACCAGAGATTTTTTTTTTTTTTT